AAGGCATCTTTAACTAAGTAAAACAAAGGGGCAGTTCAGTTTCACTACAGGGGCTTATGATCCGTGAGAAGTGTGAAATGATGCCCATAAAGCATCTTATGAAACTTCTTTATAGCAAAAATGATTGCCAAGACTTCCTTTTTGATTTGTCCGTAGTTGCGTTCAGCAGACGTTAGTGATCTTGCTACATGACAGATAGCCTTCTCTGTGTTGTCGGGAAAAAAACTTGTGAAATCACGGCGCCGATTCCATAGTTGGAGGCGTCCGCAGCCCGGAATTGAAGTGCGTGAGCAGCAAGTCAGAGCTCAAAATTTTTTCACTCCTTCAAAAGCTTGTTGACACTATCGCGATCAAAACCACTTCGCATCTTTCTTGAGTAGTTCATTCATCGGATGACGAAGGCGGTGCATTTCCTGGAGGGACGAGCTGTAGTGACTCATGAGACCCAAGAAAGCGCGCAAAAAACTTACGTCCTTTGTTGGTGGCATCTGCTTGATGCCTTCGATGTTGTCTTGATCTGGGCGACGGCCGTCTTGGTCGATTATGAACCCGAGATATTTTACAGAAGGCATGAAAAAATTGCACTTCTCCAGACGTAGACGGAAATTATAGTCTTGAATTCTGCTGAGTACCGTCTCCAGACGTTGCAACAGTTCATCTGGATTTGAACCAGTGACAATGCTATCATCCAGGTAAGGAGCGGCTCCTTCGGTGCACGTCAGCACGGTGTCCATGGTTTGCTGGAAGATAGTGGGAGCAGTCTTAACTCCGAATGGAAGACGGGTGTATTGGAAAAGACCACGATGGGTGTTAATGGTTAGAAGCTCCCAGGAGCCTTCGTCAACCTCGATTTGGAGGTATGCATCGGATACATCCAACTTAGCGAAACAAGTTCAGCCACTCAGCTTAGCAAAAATATCTTACGGCACGGGCAAAAGATACTGGTGTGTGTCCAAAGCAGCATTGAGACCAACGGAAGATTCAGCACAGATTCGGTCTTTACCTGAGGCTGTCTTGACAACCACGATTGGTGCGGCCTATGCTGAGTAATTGACTGGCTGAAGAACGCCATCTTGTTGAAGACGATCAAGTTCTTGGTCCACCACTGTAAGTGCAGCGTAAGAAACTGGCTTTTTTGTTCTGAAAACATGTTTTGCGTTTGGTTGAAGATGAAGAGTGACCTTCAGCTTGTTGCAGCAACCAAGACTGTCTTGAAAAACTGGAGCAAACTTCGCCTGTAAGGTTGACATCAGATTTGTCGCCAGCTGATTCGATTTGGCGGGACTGGGCCAAGTTGACTGCACACCATTGCAAATGCGCTTAAGTGGCAGTTCTAGGAGACCGAGTTTCTCAATTCAGTCAAGGCTAATTAAGTCAAGCTCCGGGCGGCTGGTAAAGTAGCATGTTCCCTTGAATTTAGTGCCCTTAAAGGAAACGTCACATTCAAGTTCACCCATGAGCCGGAGGAATTCGCCAGAAACATTCATGGCCTTTTTATCCGATGTGATCATTGGAGGCCGTCCAATCATCTGCCAAGTGTGCTTGGTGATGAGGCTGATGTCTGTTGCCGTGTCCAGCTCGAGGCGCACAGGCTTTCCATTGATGGTAACCGTAAGATATTTCCTCCGTGCCTCAAATTCAGTCTGGAATGTGGCTAGAATTGAGTTGGACTTTAGGCCAGAGTAAGATGAAGGGCGTTCGAACTTCTCGCCTTCCTGTCGCCTGCCCTTGATTTGAGGGGTTGGCCTGCCGGACAGTGGTCTTCCTTAAGTCCTCGTTTATGGCATTTGTGACAAACATGTTTCTCGAATGGACAGAAACGAGCAAAATGCCAGTCACCACACTGCCAGCACGCTGATGGTGGTTTTCTGGGTGCGGGATCTTGGGATTTCTGTGGCGAGGTCGACTTCGTCCGAGTGACAGCATGAATACTGGTGGCGGCAAACGAGAAACTGGGTCGCTCCACGATCGCAGAATCATGTTTAATATTCTTGAGCCGCTGACGCTCGGCCGTCAATGTCTGCAGAGTTGACTTCGGGTCCTGTTCAATTTTTGAGAGCAGACGGGTCCGAATTTAAGCATCACGAGGTGACTGCAAGTCGTTCACAAAGATAAGGCACGTGAAGTGGTCATCGGTCAACTCTCGGACCTTGAACTGTTCACACTCGCGGTTGACAGTACTGGCGAGTGTCAGAAAATCATCTGCCTCGTTTTTCACCAGTTTGAGACACTGGCACCGAATATTGAACGAGGAGGACTCTTCGCCGAAAAGCTCTGACAGGCGTTGGACGGTTTCATCGAAAGTGAAGTCACGAGGGTTTTTCAGCAGAATGATATCCGCGTATCGCTCGTGTTCTCTATTGCCCAGTTTGCATAATAGCAGGCGCACCTTCCATGCATCATCGGCCTTGGCAAAATCCATGCGGAATAAGCCTTCCCAACGTTTGAACCAAGCGTCAAAGGTAACGCCGGAATGCTGCTTCGAATTGAGTTTGCTGTCGTTGCAGGATCGCGAGCAATTTTTCTGATGAAATGGACATAGTGAATTCTGAAACTGCGTCGCCAAATGTCGCAAAGGAAACCCAGGCCGAGACATCACCGCCCAATTATGCCTTGTGTGAGTCCCCAAGGGAAGAACACAACAAGAAGTGTGCAACAGCAGAAGTCTTTTTGTGTAAGAGGTACAACATATTTAGGACAACAAACGCGTGTAACACGATGTCCATCGAGCCTATCAGATCCCCTCTTGACGTAGTCGCCAGTAGAATTGGCTGGTGACTCAACGGCTGACTGCAATATGAACTTCGAATTATCGATTGATTGACTCCAAGTCTGCGTTCGCTTCGTGTAGGCTAATGGAAAGCCTGCCGCGTATGGGCTATCGCTTGCAAGCTACTGCTTGCTAAGGCTGTTCGTTAGGCCGTCCTAACATGGCTAATCACCTGTTATAGCCCAATACAAACATCCAAACCCACACCTAACTGAAATTTCTACAAACAAACTAATCACCTGATTTAAATAAAACATTTATTTACACTAAAGTTGGTCCGGACGCATAATTCATAGTGTATATGCAGTGAACGTTTTGTACGCTGCTATTCCGCAAACGCCTCATCTTGCCAATTATTCATCTTTCTACATATTTTTATGCATTTTTGAATAACAAAAGCGATCTGTAGCCATTTTTGCATATTTCAGCATATTTTATGCAATCCCGTACCCTTTTAATGGAGTTTTTAATGGCTTCTATCATTTACTCCAAATATACTGACTTATACTGACTGAAGCGGACACAGAACACGTTTTTCTATACCACTTCGTCGGGAGTAGTACCATCCCAAACTTGAAGCACTATTTCCAGGTTCAATCGCCCACTGACGCTGTGAAGCGCGTCGATATTCAGTTGACGAACGCAACGGGTAAGCCGATATCCAGCCAACAACCTGTTGCCTTTCGGGGACGTTATAATTATGGCCAGAGACCCTGACGCCCGTGAGCCAATCGAAGGGCGTAAGAAACTCGACCGGCCCGAGACTCAATGGAGGATGTTTTCCCTTGTACCCCAAGAACGGCACACCAACGGCCAAAATTAACCAGGCTAGAAATCCAGACAATCAAGGCCCACTGTGCACTGCAACAGACAGTCAAACTGCGACAGAGGAAACGACCGGTACGCTATGCATTCCTACTTGCGGTTATCTATTTCATGCAAATGCTCCGTTGTATACTGCATTTACAGTTTTCGACTGTTCACTGGAAGCATAAGTTAATACAGGCGCTACATTATCTTTAGTTCTTTGGGAAGCGAACACGACAGGCAATCCTGACAGACTGTAATGATGAGGCCCTCCGGGCCTCAAATGCATAACTTTGTTTCATTCTTTACAATGTACCTTTACTAGTAACGGCTGGTGGGTCACAACTGAGGACCACTGGCACTCTCAAATTACCCATAATAGTTCCGAAAACCCGAAGACGACACAAGTTTATATTATCATCTCATTTGGCATGGAGCGAGCTATTAGGCCTTGACTTCCTAAAACCGAATCACTGTGCCATCAATTTACACGACCGGATTTTATCCTTTACAATCCAAGAACCTCCCACGGTACGCCTAAATGAAGAAACAGTTATTGCCTCCATTGCAGCTGCAGTTGCTCTACCATCCTCAAATATCAATAATGTATTAGCCGAAGACAACAACATTGAACACACCGGTAAATGGACCTCAAAGCACTACTGGCAACATTAACGGAAGTCTTTGAGTGGAACAAATTGACTGTAAGAAGCACATAATTACTTGGTCATGCCATCGATACCGGTACGGCACAACCATTTGGTAACCCCACGTCACAAACCAACGCAATTTCAACAGGAAGTAAATGATCTCATCGATAGGATGCCGTCCACGGGAGTTGTACGACCTTCTAAATCACAGTAGGCTTCACCAATTATGCTAGTTCCAAAGAACGGTGGCACTCATGACTTTAGGTTAAACGCGGTTATGACAAGGGACTCCTTTCCGATGCCTAGTATATCCGTGAGACTAGATGCACTAGTCGGCGCAAAATGTCTTTCTAACTGTAACCTTAAACCAGGATACTGGCAAGCCGAGGTGGAAACCAAAGACCGCCCGAAAACCGTATTTATATTGCCGCAAAGACTTTTAGAATTCGAGACGATACCGTTTGGGTTATGCAACGCGGTGGCAACATTCCAATATCTTATGCAAGTGATATTAACCCCACTCTATTCACACTGTTGTTCAATATACTTAGACGATGTCATTGTGTTAGTTGACACAAGTGCTCACAATAATGCTAACCTATTCACAGTCCTGGCCACATAACGAGAGACAGGTAATGAAAGGGTTCCTTGGGTCTTAAATATACAATTTATTAATTGTTTGAACCCACGAAAATGCAAGTTTTTGCAGAAGAAAGCGACATTCCTTGGACATGAAGTTAGTACAGACAGGATTTACGCGTTTCCCGACAAATTCGCGGCAGTAAAAACTTGACCAATACCACAAACACTCCCCGACATTCGGATTTTCGACGGACATTTTCTCAGATTTATACGAAAATTTGCCGAGATCGCACGGCCGCTCCGCACACTCACTGAAAAAAGAAGAAAACTAAAATGTATCGAAGGCTACCAACAAGCATTCGGCGAATTCAAAGGCCGCCTTATAGCGGTCTTCCATACTATGGTTAAACGATACACAACAAGATGCCTCGACCTTCATACTAGGTACGGATGCGAGTGGGTTTGGTGTAGAGCGACCTTCGTGTTATGCGAGTAAAACAGTAGCTAAGCCTCAGCGCAACTACTTCACATACAGGCGTGAGCTCTTCGCCCTGATCGCGCTTATCAAGCAATTAAAACCGTTCCTCCTAGGCAGACATTTCATCGTACAACAGATCATAAAGCTCTGTCACATCCCTTTGTCCAGACTAAAATAATATTTAAAGAGTAGTTGTCAGCCAGACTGCTATCCTGCAGACTGGATGGGCCCTCTGGGCCCTAAATATACAATTTATTTATAAAGGAGAAAAGTGGTACCGAAACGAAAACGGAGGAAATATACATAAAAAGAGGCATGCCCTTCACTACAACCACCTCTTGTGACTGATCACGAATACATCTTTCTGCTATCCAATAATTC